ATGTTATCTTCAGGGCCTAGCAGATAATCCAGTTTTACTGCAGCATAGGATGCATTATTAGGAGTAAAGGGAAAATATAGGAGGTTAGGCCCAAATAGTGGGCTCAGATAGATTTCTGGAGGGCCTGAGTAACATAACAAGGACTTTAAACTTATCCTTAAGTAGTAGGGAGGCTTAGAAAGTTTTTTTGGTTTTAGAGGATTTTTTTAAGACAGGTCTCACTCTCTCTTCCAGGCTAGCGTGCAGTGGCACAATGTCAGCTCACTGCAACCTTGACCTTTTGGGCTCAAGCAGTCCTCCTGCCTCACCCCTCCAAGTAGCTGGGACTACAGGTGTGCACCACCACACCCAGCTAATTTTTGTAATTTTTGTAGAGATGGGGTCTCACTATGTTGCCGAGGCTGGTCTCGAACTCCTGGGCTCAAGTGATCCATCCACCTCAGCCTCCCAAAGTGTGAAAGGTTTTAAAGAGGAAAGTGACAATATGGTTAGATTTTTCTAGTTTGCTTTATGGAGATGGGGGTCTCACTGTGTTGCTCAAGCACATCTTGAACTCCAGGCTTCAAGTAATGCTCCCACCTAGGCCTTCCCAAAGTGCTGGGATTACAGGTATTAGGCCTGGCCTAGATTTGTATTTTTAAAAGAGAATTTTAGTAGCAATTTAGAAAGATCAGAGGCAAATGCCAGAGGAAGTGAGAGCAGTTTGGAAGTTGTTTGCTCACTCCTAGTGAACAGTTTTTCTAAAATTTAATAAATATATGTTTTGGATTCTGTGTGAATATTCTCATTGAATAGATAATTTTATAGTTCCCATAATTTGATAGACTTTTGTTGTTACATTTTCCCTCTGTGTTTCGGTAAACCAGAATGTAAGGCCATAAAGAATTATCTTTTGTTAAATAGATTTATCTAGAAACCAGTCTATAATTTCCTTATGATTGTCTAGTTTCTTCAGTAGCTTACTGTGTTTTGTGTAGGTTGGCCTGGCAGTGGTGAATGGACAGCTCATGGCAGTAGGAGGTTTTGATGGCACAACATACTTGAAGACCATAGAAGTTTTTGATCCTGATGCCAATACCTGGAGGTAACTTTTAAGTTGTGTAGCAAATCACCTCACTACTGACTTGAAAATCATGGCTTGAGATGGCCCGTGACCATCAGAACTGGGATGGTCAGTATATTGAAGTACTTTGAAGAGGGCTGAAGTTACCCATATTTATGGTTCATTTTGACTTGATTGCTCTAAAGTGGCTGAAATATTACAAAATTCACCTTTTCAGTAACTGTCCAGTTTTATAATTAGAGATGGGGAAAATAATCTCCTTCCTAGCCCTTTCATGGTCAGCTGAGGAAAATAAAGCACTGAGAAATAAAATGATTTGCCTAAAGTGAGTTAGTGACAGAGTTAGAATTGGAACCTAGGTCTTTGGCGCCATATCTGTCCGCCATTTTTTGGTGTTCTTGTGGGAAGCCTATGCCCAGGAAAAACAAATTGCAATTACTTTCGAATAATTGATATTTTTAAAAAATATTATTTCATTTTTAAACCTATTTAACTTTTAGAGAAGAGGCTACATCTTATTTAAGAGAGTTTAACTTAAACTTCATTTCTAGGTTTAATTTTACTTTGCTTTTAAATCTTTAATGGTCTAATAAAGCTTTCCTAAGTAGTTGTTTTTATAATTTCACATAAATTAGGTGACTTGCATTTATTTTAAATATTCAGGAACCTTTAAAACTTAGCAAAATTCTCTTAACCTTTAAACTTAAAATAATAATTAAGCCTAAATCTTAACCTCAATCACATTTTATACTGGAATCACAAGACTAATCTCATAGATGCTCTAAAAAGCCAAATTCTCTTAAACACTGTATAAACTTAAAATGCCAAATATATAATTTTCAGACTTTAAAAATAATACTATGGGTTTGATATACTTCATAGCTATAGTTAATTCTGCCGGGTGCGGTGGCTCACGCCTGTAATCCCAGCACTTTGGGAGGCCGAGGCGGGTGGATCACGAGGTCAAGAGATCGAGACCATCCTGGTCAACACGGTGAAACCCCGTCTCTACTAAAGCTACAAAAAATTAGCTGGGCATGGTGGCGCGTGCCTGTAATCCCAGCTACTCAGGAGGCTGAGGCAGGAGAATTGCCTGAACCCGGGAGGCGGAGGTTGCGGTGAGCCGAGATCGCGCCATTGCACTCCAGCCTGGGTAACAAGAGCAAAACTCCGCCTCAAAAAAAAGATCACAAAAAAAAAAAAAACATAGCTATAGTTAATTCTAAATAGTAGTCTTCTAAGAAAACAGTTTTCCCTTCCAATCAATTTGGGATTTGCTTCTTAATAAAATGGGCTTACTTGCCTAAGCAAATTTAGGGTTACCATCTCAGTGGTTAAGGTTGCACATCAACCAGAAATATCAGGCTGGTCATGTAAGCTGAGGCAACAGACATTCTGGGAGATTTTTCTTGTGACCATAAAGGATAAGCTGAGCTCTACTTTATTGTTACTATTCTAAAAGAGGCAGTCTTGTAGTCCATTCTTGCTGTATTCTAATACATTTCCTAATTTTAAGCCTGCAACTATACACCCAGTTTTTTCATCACCCTATTATATTCAACCATAGTCTATCTCTAGGAAAGCCACCACTCTCATGTGACATGCTTTGGATCCTGCATATTTCTCACAGCTCCATATAGCTCAGTGGTCACAAAACTAAAGTCAGGCTAATGATAGCATGGTACTTTTTGCTCCTACATCACATTTTTACAGTACTGTTCATTAAGTAAAGATCTACTGATGGCCAGGTCCAGGGACTCACACCTGTAACCCCAGCACTTTGGGAGGCTGAGGCAGGCGGATCACCCGAGGTCAGGAATTCGAGACCAGCCTGGCCAACATGGTGAAACCCCGTCTCTACTAAACATAAAAAAATTAGCCAGGCATGGTGTTGGCGCCTGTAATCCCAGCTACTTGGGAGGCTGAGGCAGGAAAATTGCTTGAACCTGGGAGACAGAGGTTGCAGTGAGTGGAGATTGCATCACTGCACTCCAGTTCTGGGTGACAAAGCGAGACTCCGTCTCAAAAGAAAAAAACGTAAGATTTACTTAGTGCTCCAAGCCCTGGGGATACAAAAGTGAATGATGACAACAACAAAAATTCCAGCTGAGCACATACCTGTAATCCCAGCTACTAGGAAGGCTGAGGCACAACAATCTCTTGAACCCAGGAGGTGGAGGTTGCAGTGAGCTGAGATCACACCACTGCACCCCAGCCTGGGTGGCAGAGCAAGCCTGTGTCTCAAAAACAAAAATTCCTTGCCCTCTTGGAGCTAGCATTGTATTGAGGGAGACAAACAGTACCATACCACAAGATGAAAGTGCTATGGCAAATATCAAAGCAGGGGAGGGGGCTAGGGAGTACAGAGAGGGGAATCTGTTTTCAAAGATGGCCAGGGAAGGCCTCGTTGGAAAAGTGGCATTTTAGCAGAACCCAGTAACAGTAAAGGATAGGTAATGGCAAGCCTTGGGCCTCTCACTTGCAGGATATTTTCTTCTACACACAGCTTTCTATTTTTACTGGGAATTTTGAATAAGCATTATTTCTGAAGACAGCCAAATTTACTGTCACTTAATCGCTATAATCTTATCTGAGGACTTGTTTTTTAGTAACTGTCACTAAATAGAATCAGTAATATATGACAAAGTAATAGTCGTGAAATTCTTAAGGATGATCTGTTGAGAGATTAATAAGTAAATATTTGCCGTTACATATCCCAGACTTCAAAACCAACTCTACCTCATAGCTGATAAGGGTCTAGTATTCTTCTCCATGGAAATCCTTAATTTTGAAGATGATCTTGTCACAAACTAGATGCTGACTTTCCTCAAATCTGGTTTTGTTTTATAAAGGACTTGAGAAGGCTTACAGAGTACATATAAGCAAAGGGATAAAAATAAAGCATTTTAGGCAAAGGCAAAATGTATGTAGGACAATAATATAGCCAGGGCAATTACAAAAATATAGAATATATAATTCTGTGTAATTGTTAGAAGTGAGGTATAAAGTTGTGAAGTTCTGATGAAAAAAGTGATTATGAGGCCGGGCGCGGTGGCTCAAGCCTGTAATCCCAGCACTTTGGGAGGCCGAGGCGGGTGGATCACAAGGTCAAGAGATCGAGACCATCCTGGTCAACATGGTGAAACCCCGTCTCTACCAAAAATACAAAAAAAAAATTAGCTGGGCATGGTGGTGCGTGCCTGTAATCCCAGCTACTCAGGAGGCTGAGGCAGGAGAATTGCCTGAACCCAGGAGGCGGAGGTTGTGGTGAGCCGAGATCGCGCCATTGCACTCCAGCCTGGGTAACATGAGTGAAACTCCGTCTCAAAAAAAAAAAAGAAAAAAGTGATTATGATGCTCTCTCATTCTTCACACAGCCTCCTATGAGTGAGAGTATGTCTGAAACAGCCCTGCTACTCACCAGTGCTCAATTGCAGCTTCTGATCCTAAGAATGAAGACAGTATTTGTGTGAAGCTGAAAATATTGGTTGTAATATAAAACACAGAAATGTGTTGTTAACATCTTATAGAAGAAATGGTGCTTTTTTTTCCAGTTAGAAAATCTCATTATGTTTCTTTCTTTGCAGGTTATATGGCGGGATGAATTACCGTCGGCTAGGGGGTGGCGTAGGAGTTATTAAAATGACACATTGTGAATCCCATATATGGTGAACACGTAGAAGACAGAGACTTGTGTATATTCCTCTCTATTCTGGGGAGCTTTGACTTTGGAGCTTTGTACAGCTTGAGAAAACATTAGAACAAATTTTATTCTTTGCTGGTGCCTCAACATATGGAAATACAAACCTGATGAAAGTACTTCTTCACCTGCAAGATGCACAATAATTTTCAGCTCTGTGAAGAAGAATATTTATTTTTTGCTTTAATTTATCATGGTTTTTTGTTGTTTTTGTTTTGAATTTATCCTTCCTCCCACAAAAACAAAACAAAAAACAGAAAATTCCAAGCAGCAAAACTTACTTTGTAAGATACTGACTTAGGTTTGAAAATACTATTTAGTAAGGTCAGAAGGGCTAATATGATTTGGTTATTATTTCTAGACACTCCGTCCACATGATTCCACTGCTTATAAGGATCACCAGGAATAAAGGTAGGTATGCAAAATGTATGAGCTAGCCATTCTTGCACTAAGCACCAGATGACTTGAAAATCTAAAAAACAAGAAAAGGCAACATCTCATTTTAAATAGTACAATTCAGAAGGAATACTAAATCAATAAAAACCAGGACTCAGACACTACAGTTTTCATCAGTGTAATTTTATGTCTTGTTTCTTTCTATATGAAATTGTTTGTTTAGTCTTTTTTCATAATATTCTCATAGAGTTTCTGCTAGATCTAGAGCTCTGCTCAGTGCCTCTTATAAAAATATATGAGTCTCATATGCTCTCTTGAGAATCCAAGAGAAGCACATGCAGCTCTACAAGAGTTTTTGCTCAAAAATGTTACCAACTAAAGCAACTGTTCTTTCCTGTTTCCTTATTGCTACCAAGGACCAGCAGGGAGAAATATCTTCTCCCAGCAGTGAATTCTGTTATGCAATTTATTCTTGATGCTCAGGCCTGGTTAAGCTGAGGCTTACCTTTAATAACAGCCTCCAAGGGAATGAATTCTTCAGTTCATGTAATAGCATACATTAAACAATGCAAAATCAATTGAGGCATTTTATTAATATCTTGGTTCTTTTATACAAACAATGTATCATTATCTTCATTCTATAAGGCCAGTGTTACTACTACTCTCAAATTGCACTTTCTGATAAAAAGTGTAAAATTTTTAAGGAAAATATAATTTCAATGGTTAAAGTTTTTTTTCTCATTATATTCATAGGCAAATTTTTTTCAATATATTTTGCAAGAAAACCTTTGAATAAAACTGACTGCATTTAAAAGGAATAACCTCCTTCTCCCTTCTCCCCCATTACAAAGATGTTTGGCAACTTTGTGTTTACATTTAAGACCATTTGCACCTTTTCAAGAAAAAAAAATAAGTATTTAGTAAACGTTTACATGTATCATTTTTGCTTTTTTCTAGCATGTATAACTTTTTTAAATAAAGGTAGTATTTACCATTAAAAAATTTTAGCTAATGCTTTTTATGCTTGTACTTTTGCTATTTAATTTGGAATTTGTTTCTATATCATTTATATTACCTGTATATAAAGTTATAAGTGCTTTCAACTTGAAGGAATAAAAGGATTGCCAGCTAGAATTATTACTAGGAATTTTCATTATATATATTTTATATGTTATATTACCTAACCAATAAACTTATTTTCTAGGTAGGACTTAGAATCATACAATTTTGACCTGGAAGGACTCTTTAATAATCATCTAATCCAAATCTATTACACTGATCCAAGTCTGAAAACCACAGAAATCTGCCTAAGAATAAATAGTCAATTAATGACAGAACCAACATTAGAAATCAGTTTCCTCAATTCCCAGTCCATTCCTCTTTCTGTACCACACGGCCACTACAGGTTTACCTGAAACCAAATATATGAAACCAGATCTACTATTTCATACATCTGAGGAAAAAGAGAGTAATGATAGCAAGAACCAAGCTAGGGATTAGACTATGCATTAGTCAGGAAGTCTCCAGTGGGAGCAATTCATAGGGCACTGATTCAAGAGTAGAGACCCAGGAATTACGCCACTGGCCAGAGTCTTCATTGGAGCCTGTTGGAGGTTTGATTTTCCCCTCCACTGAAGGCACTCCAGTTTTATTATTGATTGAAATTTATTCTATTAAAGGTATTGCTTTAAAATAGAATGTTTATTAACTTGTATGCATAGTTTTTTCCACAATTCAGTTAAGCTTGGGATGGAGGTTGGGTTGGCAGTCATTTTCATTTCATAAATAAGTCCACTGAAGCTTAGAAAGGTTAAAATGACATGGTAGTAGCTGAACCTTAAATCTGTGACCCCTGATTGCAAATCCTTTGTGCTCTGTACACATTCCCATATTCCTGTTTTTGTTTCCCAGTTTTGTTACATAATGTTTTACCTGCAGATAACCCACACTGCAGTGCAGATAAACCAGTGTAAAAGAAGAGGTCTTTCCTGAAGATGTGAGGGAGTAGGGGACGAGCCTTTCAAACTTTATGTTAACTGAGGAAACAGATGGGCAAACAAAAAAATTCAAGGAGAAAGAAATATAGGAGAGAGAGAAGCAACAGGAGGCAAAAATGGTCCACTAAACCTGAGTATGTCTGCCCAGTTGTGAGAAGTAGCTCTGTAAATTGCTTTGAGGGCCCTGCTGGAAATGATTGAAAAGAATGGTCCCAAGAAATGATAAAACTCTTCAACTAAGTTGTTGTACGTGTCCCTAACAGTGATCTTTCAATTATTTAGCTTGTAAGGTTAGGAACTTAGATTATTTTAAATGTAAAAAAGAAAGGATGGGTATTCACTGAACTATCATTAAATGTTTGGGGTTATTCCAATAACAGTAACCTACTAATACCCCTATCCTACAAGACTTTAAGCCTGAATGCCTAGGAAAAGAGGACACATATCTTCAGTGTGAATTTAGATCAATGAACCCTTGGGCTTCTAAACAGGAACAGCCTCTGCTTTCAAAAAGCTTAGTTTTAAACCTCAGTTTCATCAAGCCTCTGGATCAGTGGTTCTCAGAGTATGGTCTGTGGACTCCTGAAGTCCCCAATATCTTTCAAAGTATCCGTGAGTCGAAACTATTTTCTTAGTAAAACAGTTTTCTGCCTTTTTTTAGTGTAGAGGCATTTGCGCTAACGGTGCAAAAGCTATGGTGAGTAAAACTGCTGGTGTCTTAGCAAAACTCAAGGCAGTGGCACCAAACTGTACAACTAGCATAGTATTCACCACCACAGATTTGCAAGATTTTTTTTTACTTGTTTTTTTGTTTTTGTTGCTGTTGTTTTTGTTTGACACAGTGTCACTCTGTCACCCAGGCTTGAGTGCAGTGGTGAGATCTTGGCTTACTGCACCCTCCACCTCCTGGGGTTTAAGCAGTTCTCCTGCCTCAGCCTCCCAAGTAGCTAGGACTGACTACAGGTGCCCACTACCATGCCTGCCTAATTTTTGTATTTTTCGTAGAGACAAGGTTTCACCATGCTGGCCAGGCTGGTCTCAAACTCCTCCTGACCTCAAGTGATCTGCCCACCTCGGCCTCTCAAAGGTGCTGGGATTACAGGTGTGAGCCACCATGCCTCGCCTGGATTATTATTATTTTTAATTTGCTTAAGAATGTCCTTGAGGAAGCAACAAAAATTACTAATTTACTAAATCTCAACCTATGGACATATGTCTTTTTTTTTTTTCTTGAGACAGAGTTTCACTCTTGTTACCCAGGCTGGAGTGCAATGGCGCGATCTCGGCTCACCGCAACCTCCGCCTCCCGGGTTCAGGCAATTCTCCTGCCTCAGCCTCCTGAGTAGCTGGGATTACAGGCACGCACCACCATGCCCAGCTAATTTTTTGTAGTTTTAGTAGAGATGGGGTTTCACCGTGTTGACCAGGATGGTCTCGATCTCTTGACCTCGTGATCCACCCGCCTCGGCCTCCCAAAGTACTGGGATTACAGGCGTGAGCCACCACGCCCGGCCATATGTCTTTTTTCAATATTTTATTTGACAAAATGGGAAGTATGCATAAAACACTGCTGCAAACCAAAAATACAATGGTTGTCCCAAGAAAATCTTTTGAGACTGTTTTAAGATACAAGCTGAGGGGCCGGGCGCGGTGGCTCACGCCCATAATCCCAGCACTTTGGGAAGCCGAGGCGGGTGGATCACAAGGTCAAGAGATCCGAGACCATCCTGGTCAACATGGTGAAACCCCGTCTCTACTAAAAATACAAAAAATTAGCTGGGCATGATGGTGCGTGCCTGTAATCCCAGCTACTCAGGAGGCTGAGGCAGGAGAATTGCCTGAACCCAGGAGGCAGAGGTTGCGGTGAGCCGAGATCGTGCCATTGCACTCCAGCCTGGGTATCTGGGTAACAAGAACGAAACTCCATCTCCAAAAAAAAAAAAAAAAAAAAAAGATGCAAGCTGAAATACCTACTTTTTGGGAGAAAGACTGACACACAAGTTAAGGTCATTCAGACTTGGGTGCTGGGCAGACATCTTCTCTAAAATGAACAAAGTGAGGCTATCATTTCAAGGAACACAACCAACTACTTATTGTCAACCATATTCAAGAGAAAATTAAAATTTTGAGAAAGTTGTGTCAACTATGAACTTGACAGCTTCTTAAAAACTTTTATGATGAAATTGGTGATGACATTAATGAATGCTTTTTTAATTGCATAGTGAAGTGTGTCAACATGTGGAAGATCTGCATAACTCATGGCATCAGTTTTTCTAAATGATTAATGCACAGGTTAAGATGTATCCAAAGCACAAGATAGACCAACAGATCTTATGGGAACAATATGAAAGGTGCATTGATACGGTTTTAAATTTCAGCAATCACTTGTCAAGTTTTGATGTAATATCAAGAAAAATATCCATAATTATCAGAAAGGCTATTAAAATCCTGCCCCTTCCAATTTCATATTTGTGTAAGCTGTATTTTCTTGACATACTTTAACCAAAATATATTGCAAAAGATTGCAGAGGCAGATAAGAACTCAATTGCCTTCTAATAAGCCAGAAAGTAAAGAGTTGTACATAAAATGTTTTCAAAAACACTAAATTTTTTGATTGTGAAAAAAAAAAATTCGTTTTAAAAATGGTAGCCTGGGGTAGGCACAGTGGTTCATGACTGTAATCCCACCACCTTGGGAGGCTGAGGCAGGCAGATCACTTGAGGTCAGGAGTTTTGAGACCACCCTGGCCAGTATGGTGAAACCCTATCTCTACTAAATATACAAAAATTAGCTGGGCATGGTGGTGCACACCCATAATCTCAGCTACTTGGGAGGCTAAGGCAGGAGAATCGCTTGAACCTGTTGTGGAGGCTGCAGTGAACCAAAAAGCATGTAAATAGGTTTATTTTTGATGTACTAATTTTTCAATTTCTCCAATTTTAATTTCTAATATGGTAAATCACTAGATACAATGCATGCAAACAGAAGCTCTTTGTGTCCTCAAGTTTGTGAGACTTTAAAGGGGTCTCAAGGCAAAAATATTTGAGAACTGCTGTTCTTAATCTTCAGTTTATAGGAAATACAAAGGAACAGAGGAATGTGTTAACTTCATAGCAATTCATTGAGCAAAGTCCAAAGGTGCAAAACTTTACAAGGCAGATAGCTTCTCCAAAAACTGAATTGCAAGGAAAGAAAGTGGAGAGGGAGAAACAGAGTAAAAGGAATTTAAAACTCCTATCATCAGCCTAGAGCGGTGACTCATACCTATTAATATAATCCCCCAGCACTTTGAGGGCCAGGCAGGAGAATTGCATTAATCCAGGAATTCAAGACCAATTTAGACACAGAGAGAGACCCTGTCTCTACAAAAAAAAAAAAGTATGTGCGTGTGCGTGTGCGTGTGCGTGTGTAAAAATTAGCTGGGTATGTTGGGATTACTTGGCCCAGGAAGGTCCAGGCTGCAGTGAGCCATGATAACACCACTTGCACTACAGCTTTGTTGACAGAGCAAGACCCTGTCTCAAAAGCCAACCAGATAATGAGGGCGACATCCGTCACCCTATTGATCACCAGGGTTGATTCAGCGGATCTGGCTAGCTAGACAGGTGTCCCCTTCCTCACCACTCCATGTGCATCCCTCTTAAAGCTATGCACTCGGTGGAAGAGGACACCTATCCCCAACAGAGGAAGACTAGTCTTCAGTAAAGGGTATACCAGTAGCTGCACTCCCCTGCTAGAACCTCCAAACAAGCTCTCAAGGTCCATTTTTAAGAGAACATATGGTAGTCATGCCTCCGAGATTCCAGGCACTCCAAATGAGTTGTTGTATGTGGCAGTCTGCCTTTCTTTAAAAAAAGCACCAAATTTCAGGTAATAAGGCAGATAATGTTTCATATAATGCATTGCAGTATAAAACATGCAATGATTAATTATTTACATAGCCCAACAGAAGCGATTCAATAGTCTATCCTGATGCGGATTTTAAGAATGATTAGAAGTTATGCCTGAGAAAGGTTTGAAAGACAGTCATAGTTTTGCTAAATAGATGAGAGTAGAAAGGATATTCCAGGCAGGGCAGCATGTGCAAGATATACAAAAGGAAGACAGTGAGACAGTTATGCTGTTCAGGGAAATCAAAGCAGTCTACTTTCATGAGAATAAAGTACAAAAAAGCCAATGTCCAGAAGTAAGACTGGAGAAGCAGGTATCATCATAAGGATCTCATATGCCAGTAGTTTTCTCTCTTAGCTTTCTTTTCTGATGCTTAATTCTAGTAAGTTCGTCAAGGTGTGGTCAGGCTCTAAGAGGCCCCCAGTGATCCCTGCATTCTGATATTCACAGCCTTGTGTAACCCTCTCCCAAAATGCACCAGGGTTGGTCTGGTCTGTGTGCCTAATGGCGATGCTAGGAACTCTGGTGGGGAATGTTGATAATTGGTGACACTATGCATGTGTAGAGAAAAATGGTATATAGGAAATCTCTGTAACCTTCCACTGAATTTTGTTGTGAACCTAAAACTGCTCTAAGAAATAAACTATTAAAAAGTGGAGGGGGAATGGTATGTCACTTCCAAAATTAGGCTAAAAAGGACTCTAGCTTTTGTCTTGGGTGTTTTTCTCTCATCTTTCACGCTCTAGGAAATGCAAATACATAAAAGAATATAAGAAACCCCTGAAGCTTCATGTATCAACCATCCAGCTTCAAAAATTATCAGATTTTGCAAATCTTCTTTTATCTATCTCTTCCCACTCTTGCTTCTCCTCTCCATCACCCCTGGAGTATTTTAAAGTAGATCCCAGGCATCACCTTAAAGTCATGCACTTCATTCATAACGTTTTGGTCATTGGCAGACCACATATACGACAGTGGTCTCATAAGATTATAATACTGTATTTTTACAGTACCTTTTCTATGTTTAGATTTGTCTAGATACACAAAGCCTTACCATTATATTGCCTATAATATTCAGTACAGTAATATGCTGTACAAGTTCGTAGCCTCGGAGCAACAGGCTGTCCCATATAGCCTAGGTATGTTGTAGGCTATACTATCTAGATTTATGTAAGTACACTCCATGATGTTTATACAAAGATGAAATCACCTAAGGACATATTTCTCAGAACATACCCCTATTGTTAAGTGACGCATGACTGTATTTCACCCACATGTGAATATTTAACAGATAAGGTCTAACTATAACATTACCCACATTTGATAAAATTAACATTTCTTAACATCATCTAATACCCAGTCAATGTTAAAATTCCCCTAGTTACCACTTAATTTTCTACTATTATACTTTGAATTTTTCTTTTTTCCTGTCCTTTCTTTTGCTCACTTGGTCAAATTTCTATTTGGTTCCTTGGCCCTTTCATTTTAGAAATTCTTCTATAGTTTCTATTCTATTTGTGTGTGTGTATCTGCACTGCAACAGATATAAACATATTTCTCTATGAAGATACATTAAGAGGCTGTTAGAAATACTTCATAGTTGCTCTATAGCATCAGTCATAACATACGTGATACCTAGACAACCCGTGTTTAGAGATACTAAGGGTGGGAGGTGGCTTCGGGTGTTATCAGCTATCTCCATTATAAAATACTCCATCAATCTTTCACCTAAGGGTTTTAGCAGATACTGACTGATGCTTACATCTATTATTTCATTGAGAGTTATGAATTATGCCTTCTCTATCATTCCTTTGCGTTTATCAGCTGAAATATATCTTAAAAAACTTGCCCTGATCAGCTGTTTGATTATCTTGAAATATAAACTAGAAAGTAGAAAATGTTTGCTTCTCCCCTTTACCAGTTTTCAGAACTTGATTCTGCAGCAACCTCCAAAGGTAACTTACCAGTTTCTAAAATTCTGTTTCGTATTAGTATGAGCTCATAAATTATTTTTTACTTTAATATTTTGATGTAAATAAATTTTTATATATTTAATCAATTGCACTTTTTCCTTTTGATATTTGAATTGTCTCACCTTTGGCAAGTAGGGTCCCCCTACATTTTGGCTCCTATCCTTTTGACACAACTTTTGATAAGTTATCTTGCTTTCTGATATATGAAAGATATTTTTATACATTGCCCAAACCTGAGCCCTTCCTCAAGAAGTTCTAGCTCCTTTTAGTGGGAAATACTTACAGAACATAATCTGTATATTAATAATGTTCATTGTTAATGACTTTTTACTACTTCCAGGCATCTCCAGTAAACAAATATATGTGTTTTTTAGCAAAAGAAAACTAAATCATGAGTAACCTCAATAGATACAGAAAAAAAATTCTAACAAAGTATGCCTATTATAATAAACCCCCTCAACAAACTAGGAATAGAAAGGATCATTCTTGATAAAAGATATCTATGAAAAAACCTACAGCCAACATATTTAATGGTAAAAGATATAATGCTTTCCCACTAAAACAAGACTAAAATGTACATTCTTACCACTTCTGTTCACCATTGTACTGGAGATTCTAGCGAAGGCAATTCAGAAAAAAAAAAAAAAAAAAGATTAAAAATTAACTGTCTTTATTCACAGATATTAATCGTATATGTAGAAAATCCTAAAGAATTCAGTGAAAAAAACTACTAAAATAAACAAGTTCGCAAAGTCACAGGATACAAGAGCAATATACAAAATCACTTGTATTTCCATATGCTAGCAACAATTTGAAATGAAATTAGGAAAATGATTCCATTCTCAATAGATCTAAAAGAATAAAATATTTACAGAAGATTAAATAAATGTAAAAACATCCTGCTCATACATTAGAAGATGACGGCAACACTCCCCAAATTGCTCTATGGATTCAACACAATCATTATCAAAATCCCAGCTGGTTTGTTGTTGTTGTTTTTTTTTTTTGCAAAGATTGACAAGCTGATCCTAAAATTCTTATGGAAATGCAAAAGACTCAGCCAAACAACCTTGGAAAAAAAGCACGAAGTTGAAGGTCTCACACTTCCTGATTTCAAAACTCACTACAAAGCTATAGTAATTGAGATAGTGTCGTACTGGCATAAGAAGTGACAAGTAAATCAATGAAATAAAGTCCAGAAATAAACCCAAACATTCGTGAAATATTGATTTTTGAAAAAAGTGACAATTCAATAGGAAAAAAAGTCTGTTTCAACAAATGCTGCTGAAGCAAATTAATATCCACATGCAAAAAGATGAATTTGGACCCCCTACCTCACACCATACACAAAATTTAACTCAAAACGACATACCTAAATTTAAGACCTAAAATTAGAAAATCCTAAGGAGAAAAGAGTAAACCTTTAGGACCTCAGGTTAAGCAATGGCTTCTTAACACCAAAAGTACAAGCAATAAAAGAAAAAAAAAATTGATCGATTACACTTCATGAAAAAACTTTTGCACTTTAAGAGTTAATTCTGATATTCCCAATTAAATGTAATATTATAGTTTTTACTCACTTGATTTTATAATTGTGTATTTTTTATGCTGAAATTTTTTTTTTAATGTCACCCAGGCTGGAGTGCAGGGGCACAATATTGGTTTACTGCAACCTCTACCTCCCAGGCTCAAGTGATCCTACCACCTCAGCCTCCCAAGTAGCTGGGACTACAGGCACGTGGCACCATGCCTGGCTAATTTTTTGTAAGACAGGGTTGTGCCATGTTGCCCAGGGTGGTCTCAAACTTCTGACCTCAGATGATCCACCCACCTCAGCCTCCCAAAGTGCTAGAATTAAAGGCATGAGCCACCATGCCTGGCCTACACTGAAAATCTCAATAATTACATACACTTTACCTTATTATAAATAGTGCCAAAATAATAATAGACAACTGAATGTGATTTAAAATTTATTTACTGCTCTTCTTTTTCTAGAATGGAGCCTGCTAGAATATACAACCAAAATACCACAAATTTAAAGATACCCCAGGCCAGTGCAGTGGCTCATGCCTGCAATCCCAGCACTTTGGGAAGCCAAGAGGGAGAAGATCACTTGAGCCCAGGAGTTCAAGACTAGCCTGGGCAACACAAGAAGGCCCCAACTCTAAAAAAAAAAAAAAAAAAGGCCAGTGGCATATGCCTGTAGTCCCAACTACTCAGGAAGCTGAGGTGAGAGGATCATTTCAGCCAAGAGTTTGAGACCAGCCTAAGCAATACAGCAAGATCCCATCACTAAAATAAAATAAATAAGGTGAGGTGTGGTGGCTCACACCTATAATCCTAGCATTTTGGGAGGCCAAGGATGGAGGATTGTTTGAGCCTCGGCTGAGATGGGAGCAGTTCAAGACCAGCCTGGACAATATAGTGAAACCCCATCTCTATCAAAAATTGAAAAAATTAGCTGGGCGTGGTGGCAGGCACCTGTAGTCCCAGCTACTTGGGAAGCTGAGGAGGGAGGATGGTTTGAGCCCAGGAGATGGAAGCTGCAGTGAGATGAGATTGTGCCACTGCACTCCAGCCTGGGCCACAGAGCTAGACCCTGTCTCAAAAAATAATTAAATTTAATTTAAAAGATACAGAAAAAATTTTGTGTGGGCTGAGTGCAGTGGCTCATGCCTGTAATCCCTGAACTTTGGGAGGCCAAGGCAGGAGGATTGTTTGAGCCCAGGAGTTTGAGACCAACCTGAACAACATAGGGAGACCCCATCTCTACAAAAATTAAAAAATTAGCCAGGCATGGTGGCAATATGCCTGTGGTTTCAGCTACTTGGAAGGCTGAGGTTGGAGGATGCTTGAGCCAGGGAGGTCAAGGCTGCAGTGAACTGTGATTGTGCCACTGCACTCCAGCCTGGGGAACAGAGCAAGACCCTGTCTCAAAAAAGAACAAAAAAATTTGTGTGATTATGAACTTAATATAGTTAGGCTCATTTGTTTAAATTGCTAAGGATTGCTTTGTTTTTTCCTTTCCTTCTAATTTTGTTTCATAATTAATATAAAACACTTACATGGTTCTAAACTACCAAAAAGGAACATTCAGGTAAATTAACTTTCATTCCTGTCCCCTCTACCCTGTTCCTTCCTTCTCCCTATAAGTAAATACATTTATAAGTTTGTGGTTTATCCTTACATTGTTTTTTGAAAGCGTAAGGAAATACACACTCATATCTCTCTCATTCCTTACATAAAAAGTGGCATACTCTACATTCTGTCCACATATATTGCTCTTTCACCTAACAACATATTCTGGAGATCATACCATGGGAGTAAAGAGATATCTTCCCCAATCCTTTTTATAATTGCATAGTAGTAATTCATTTTGCAGCTATACTAGGCCTGATGAGCATTTGAGTTGTTTTTAGTCTTGCTATTACAAATACTGTTGTAATAAGTAAGCTTATACTTGCTTCATTTCATATTTTTTTGCCAGTTGCTAATCAAAAGGTGACTGCACACATAATTTTGTTCAATATTGCTAACTTCTTCTCTATTAGGGTTATATTATTTGCAATAACCTTTTAACTGTTTCCCTTCTTCCACTCTTGTCTACCTATACCCATTCTCCCTCATATCTTATAAAATCCTATAGAAATCTAATTGAATCATATTACTCTCTTAAGTGGCTTCCCATTGCATTTAGAATAAAATCCAGTCTCTTCACACCCTACAAACATAGATGATATAGCTCCTGCCTCCGTATAAAGTTAGGATTAGGTTTGACTATGACCAAGTAAGACCCAAAATGACAATAGCTAAAACAGGATAGACGCGTGTTTCTCTGACAAGTAAGTCTAGAGGAAGACTGTCTCTGGAGTTTACCTTCAAGAAAACCTCAGGGCACAAGCTCCTCCCAAGCCATGCTCTGTCATCCCTAGGACTTGCTCCTCATCCCCATGACCTAAGAGAATAGCTATAGTACTAGTCATAATATCAATATTCCAGGCAGCAAAGTTGGAAGAAGGGAAAAGTAAGAAAAGGAGTAAGGGGTACATGCCAGCTGTTTTTCATAATAGGTAAGATTCCTGGAAGCTCTACTTCAATTTGTATCCCATGGATCAGAACTTATTCATATGACTATACCTACCTACAAGGAAGGCTGGAAAATATCATCTTTATTCTGGCCAGCTAGGTGCCCTCGCCAAAAACTGGGAGATATTATGCCATGGAAGAAGGCTTTGCTGCACAGCCTATCAGTTTCATCTCATACTATGCCATACACCCTTACTCACTATGCTCTGGCCAGAAAACTTCCTTTGTTCCTCAGAACAGCCAAACTCTTACCTGTCTCAAGGTTTCTCCTGCCTAGCACACTGTTCTTCAGATCTTCACATGGCTAGTTCCATCTCATCATTCAGGACTCACTTCAAAGGTCACTTCCTCAGACAGACCTTCTTTGACTACTGTATGGAAGTAGTTATACTGCATATGCCTTTCATACTGCACTGCCTTACTTTCTTCATAGCATTTGTCTCCATCTGAAATTACTTACCTTTTGCCTTACTTCACTAGAATTTCCTCAGAACAGAAACCTTTCTTTCATTTCTTCACTGCTGTATTCCTATTACCCAATACAATTCTAAGCACATGGTAGGAGTTTAGTATTAGTTTAATGGATGAATGTCTGACTCCAAAGCCCATGCTTTCCCCATTACCTCTGCTGCTCCTAGTATATCTGAAATAATATCCCCTTCCAGTAATCTTTTTTTTTTTTTTTTTAGAATGACAGCCTATTAAAGTTATTTTCATTCAAGATTTTTTATTTATTTTTTTTTTTGAGACGGAGTTTGGCTCTTGTTACCCAGGCTGGAGTGCAATGGCATGATCTCGGCTCACCGCAACCTCCGCCTCCCGGGTTCAGGCAATTCTCCTGCCCCAGCCTCCTGAGTAGCTGGGATTACAGGCACGCGCCACCATGCCCAGCTCATTTTTTGTATTTTTAGTAGAGACGGGGTTTCACCATGTTGACCAGGATGGTCTCGATCTCTTGACCTCGTGATCCACCCGCCTCGGCCTCCCAAAGTGCTGGGATTACAGGCTTGAGCCACCGCGCCCGGCCAAGATTTTTTTAAAAATTGTTTCTAAAGTAAAAGAAAATCTTATGCTCAGTAAGTAAAAAGAGGAGATTTAGGTAAAACATCATGGGCAAGTATCTTAAGTTGCTCGATCTCAGAGTTTTCATCTGTAAAAAGAAAGAATTGATTAAAACTGATTTAATCTACAGATATTTACCAAGCATTATGCTAAACTAGGACATGAAGGTTAAATAATCCCTGACCTCAAAAGAGGCTCACAGGTAGCTTTCAACTCTGTAATTCATATGATTCTATGTTACTGTTAGTCTATACCCTCTGTGTTAACAGAAAAAGCCTACCAATTTCCACTACTGAGATATTAATTAAAAGATGTCATCGAGACATTGATAAGCACATTACTTCATTTTAAAATAAACATTTAATTCAACATTGCAACAGGAGTTGAACTGTATTTAAAACGGAAGCATATTCATGGCTAAAACAATGTGTATATTAATCTTTAGTTCCCTTTTGAGGATATTTTGATTGCCAGTTCTCTGCAGGGAAATGGCTAGGAAAATGTCTTTAGAAGACAGTTCTTTCTGAATGCAAGTCTAAAATGCTTTTTAAAGATTTCTAAAGACCCAAATCAGAAATATCCATTAGATATATCTCATTTGAATCCTAAGCGTTTAAACATAATAAACACTGTATTTATTTATTTTTTTATTTTTTGAGGCAGAATCTCACTCTGTTGTCCAGGCAGAAGTGCAGTGGCACAATCTTGGCTCATTGCAGCCTCTGTCTCCTGGGTTCAAACAATTCTCCTGCCTCAGCTGCCCCAGTAGCTGGGATTATAGGCATGCACCCCCACACCCAGCTAATTTTTGTATTTTCAGTAGAGATTTTCACCATGTTGGCCAGGCTAGTCTCAAACTCCTGACATCAAATGATCCACCCACCTCAGCCTACCAAAGTGCTGGAATTACAGGTGTGAGCCACCAAGCCCAGCCTATATAGACATATTTAAAGATGACAAGAAATTAACAACTCAGCATTTTGAGAGTGGCATGCCAGATCATCATGATTACAACATGGGCACCTGACTGTTGCTCATCTACTACCATATTCTTTGTTCTTCTAGATCCTTCTTGACTTCCATCTTGGCAACTCCAAAGGCATGGTGGGGAAAACAGATGAAGAGATAGATGCCTATTTCTCCCGCAGTCTCTTTCAGCATAGCAATTGGGCAAGTAATCAATAAGAAAAGGGTATATAATCTTTAACTTATAGTCCACATAAGGCCTCACTCAATTTGAAAAATTGCCAGTTCTGTCAAATATGCTAACACTCCAATAAGGTATTTATGACACAGAATCTGCAAAAAGAAAAAGAAGACATTTAAAGTTAGAATAGTGTTAATTATAACAAAGCAGATTGATATTTGAATAATCAATGAATATTAGTCTAGTTTCTAAATTTAATTCATTAAGTTTACCACATGCAATACACTCATTTTTGGCCAGACACAATGGATCATCCCTATAATCCCAACACTTTAAGAGGCCAAGGCAGGAAGATCACTTGAGCCCAGGAGTTCAAGGCCAGTCTGGGCATAAAAGGGAGACCTCGTCGCTACAAAAAAATGTTTTAAATTAAAAAATAGCCAGCTGTAGTGCTATACACCTATAGTCCCAGCTGCTCACAAGTCTGAGGCAGAAGGATCACTTGAGCCCAGGAGTTCAAGGTTATAGTGAGCTATAATCATTCCAGACTGGGTGAAAGAGTGAGACTATGTCTTTAAAACAAAAAACAAACCACTCATTTTTATATTTTCTATTTCTTTCCTTTTTCATTTTTTAATGTTGGTCTCTTCCCATCAAAATTATTTCCCAACCAACTGTTGCACTGTGACCTCCAGTTTGAAAAGCATGAATATAGTGCTTAAAGACACAGTACTGACTTCTTGGATCTAAGGGATAAGAGTTCAAATCGTGATTCTTCCTCTTATAAGCTATCTTGTTTGTCATTTAAACCTATTTTGGCTTCAGTTTCCTTGTGTTAAAATATGGATTAAAACACCTAACTGGCTGGGCGCAGCGGCTCACGCCTGTAATCCAGCACTTTGGGAGGTCAAAGTGGGTGGATCATGAGGTCAGGAGTTTGAGACCAGCCTGGCCAACATGGCGAAACCTCAGCTCTACTAAAAATACAAAGATTAACCAGGCCTGCTGGTGGGCGCCTATAGTCCCAGCTATTTGGAAGGCTGAGGCAGAAGAATTGCTTGAACCTGGGAGTGAGCCAAGATCGTGCCACTGCACACCAGCCTGAGCAACAGAGCAAGACTTCATCTCAAAGGAAAAAAAGAAAAAAAAACCACCCAGCTAACCGGGCATGGTGGCTTACGCCTGTAATCCCAGCATTTGGGGAGGCCAAGGCAAGTGGATCGGTTGAGGTCGGAGTTAGAGACCAGCCTGGCCAACATGGTGAAACCTTGTCTCTACTAAAAATACAAGAGTTGGGCCGGGCGCAGTGGCTCAAGCCTGTAATCCCAGCACTTTGGGAGGCCGAGGCGGGTGGATCACGAGGTCAAGAGATTGAGACCATCCTGGTCAACATGGTGAAACCCCATCTCTACTAAAAATACAAAAAATCAGCTGGGCATGGTGGCACGTGCCTGTAATCCCAGCTACTCAGGAGGCTGAGGCAGGAGAATTGCCTGAACCCAAGAGGTGGAGGTTGCGGTGAGCCGAGATCGCGCCATTGCACTCCAGCCTGGGTAACAAGAGCGAAACTCCGTCCCCCAAAAAGCTGGGATTCGAGAGATTACAAGAGTTAGCAGGGCATGGTGGCAGGTACCTGTAGTCCCAGCTACTCAAGAGGCTGAGGCAGGAGAATCACTCGAACCCAGGAGGCAGAGGTTGCAGTGAGCTGAGATCGCACCACTGCACTCCAGCCTGAGTGACAGAGAGAGACTCCACTTCAAAAAAAATAAATAAAAATAGTAGGCCGGGTGCAGTGGCTCACACCTGTAATCCCAGCACTTAAGGAGGCCAAGGCAGGTGGATCACGAGGTCAAGAGATCGAGACTGTCCTGGCCAACATGGTGAAACCCTGTCTCTACTAAAAATACAAAATTAGCCAGGTGTGGTGGCTCATGCTTTTAGTCCCAGCTACTCAGGAGGGTGAGGCACGAGAATCACTTGAACCCAGGAGGCAGAGGTTGCAGTGAACCGAGATCACACCACTACTGATGGAATAAGACTCTGTCTCAAAAAAAAATACCCACAAAAAAACACCTAACTACAGTGTTGCTCTAAAGATTAGAATTTAAGGTCTGTTAAACTCTTAGTACAGTGACAAGATCACAAAACATTTACTGAATGTATATTGTGACTGTATATTTTAATATATTTTAGAAGCCAATTCTCAGTTTATTTCTGATACTTCTTATCAGAAATGACTTTGTAGAGAATAAAACAATGTCTCTATTATTTCTTTCCCAATGAGGATAGAAAAGCCTAGAATATAAAGATGACATCTTAGTTCTATGTTTCTGGCTATATCTATATTTTTTTTGGTCTAACATACAACATTCTCTGTTACTCTGATCATTATTTCAAAATTTCACAAGAAACAATTTTGAAAGGTTCAAAGTTACTACAAAATAATAATTCATATTATTACCAAAGGCTGAAGCACACAGCATATAGTGTCCTTCCATTATAAAGCTATTATCTGCAAGGTAAAGACTTCAGTAAACCATAAAGCATAAAATAAAGGCTATTGTCTTGAATACATTCGAATGTGTTTCTTCAATGTGGACAATACAATCATCATACATTTTTAAAACCATGCAATAAGGAAAAATTACTTAACTAGATTGTTCAAACTAACCTTTATTTTTCCATCAGTATGTGCTGAAGCTACAGATGTTGAAACACGAACCAATCTTGTGGCTGATAAATGAATTTTGAAATGCCTATGGAAATGTGAATAAAGGCAGTCCATGAATAAGTCAACTTCTTCCTGGGTAACCTCCCCAGGTGTTTTGTGGACACTGTCCCATAAAGCTTTTGCATCCTCTGGATGTATTGCGTAAGAAATGTCCAGACTTTGAGGGCTACAGGGTACAGACCAAAGAAATTCAGTAGTAGCCACATAATGGTCCATTTTGCATGCAGTCCACATGGCAGCCATCCAGGAAAGATTAAATGCATTGATTGCTAAAGGACTGAAATAACAGTCAAAAGTTTTCTGAAACCAAGTTCCAATTATGGCTGTGTTAGACTCTGCTCCATTTGCAAGGAATAAGGGCAGACAGGTGAAATCTTCTGAAACAGTCTCCAGAAGACTATCTCCAAATATACAGCAGAACCAGCCAGTCCACAGCACTTTACCTTCTCTATTCTCAGATGGCAATTGAGATTTTGACAGAATCTACAAAAGAAACAGGTTCCTTAAATTCAAAAGTATATTTACTTCTAAATTACATCTTCTCAAAATTAGTTCATTAAAAATAAAACAATCCAATGTAATACTTGCAAAAAACATAAAGGATAGTCTCCCCAATGATTAAAAGGGCTTATCAAAATAACTGGCCTTTTTTTTTGAGATGGAGTCTCACTCTGCCACCCAGGCTGTAGTGCAGTGGCACAATCTCGGCTCACTGAAACCTCCACCTCCTGGGTTCAAGTGATTTTCCAGTCTCAGCCTCCTGAGTAGCTGGGATTACAGGCATGCACCACCACACCCAGCTAAATTTTCTATTTTCAGTAGAGACAGGGTTTCACTATGTTGGCCAGGCTGATCTTGAACCTCCGACCTCAGGTGATCTGCCTGCCTCGGCCTTCCAAAGTGCTAGGATTACAGGCATGAGCCACCATGCCCAGCCCCCAATATTCTTAAACAGTGGAAACATGCATGATATAAGATCTTGATGTAACCAAAATGCAAAGTAAGAGCTACCAATATGGTAATAACCAGATACAGTACCCTGAAACAAACAAACAAAAACCCTCAACTTTAGAAAGAACTGTAAAAGGTCACAAAATCCAAAGTGTTTGAATTCTTTCATTGAGGAATACTTCAATATTTCCTAAGGCAGGACTATCAACTTAAAATGTTCTTTTATATGTTAGACCCTACAGTTTCTACCCACTGGTCCTGCTTTCTTCCTTTTGGACATGTAGAATATAATCTAATCTAATCTCTCTTCTACAGGAAAAGTCCTTCAAGTATTTGATGGTCCCTATCATATATAGTACTAAGTTCAACATTTCCAGTTTCTTCAACCATTCCGCCTATGACATGCTTTCACATTTTCTCACTATTCTAGTCACTCTTCCCTGAAATTATTTTGCATAGGAATCATTCGTAAGTGAATATCATTACTTTAAATAGGTCTGATTCAGGGAGGAGGGGAAAAAAGGTCTGAGTGCAAGACCTTTTTTTAAAGGCTAAACCACCACCTTTAACCTAGATTAGACTCCTGTTAATGTAATCGCAGATTGCAGTTTTCTGGTTTTTAGTTGACAGCTTTATATAAACTAGCCCTGTATATTCATGTTTGCTGTTATTGGTAAATTTCTCCCAACTTATACTGAGGCAATAAGCTTATTCCTACTAAAATTTTAATCTCTTTTGATTTGGCTCATTGGACAATCCATGCAGATCATTTAGGATCTTTGATTACATTTTTAGCTGACTGTCTAAGCTCTCAAACTTTAAATTTTAAGTTACACAACAAATATGCCTTCCAGATACTCACAGAAGTCTGTTAAAGCATTAAGCAAACCAAGGTTAAGATCACAGCTTTGTATAATAGCCCTTCAGATAAGATCATTTACACAGTTACTTTTATCATATTTCTCCTTCTTGTTCAAGAAATTATCAAAGACTCCCAAATACCCAGAAGTTTAGATATGTTTATCATACTTTCATGACCTAAGAGTCCTGTAACCCTATCAAGAAATGAGATTTAATTTGAAAACTATTAGAACACTATACCAGGAATTCAAGAGGTCATTTCTAATTCTCATAAGGGTATATGCTTGACTGATGACATGCAAGTCACAAACTTTGTGCATCTACTGCTTCACTTGATAAAAACTGCTAATTGTCTCTCAAGTATTCATTTGTCCTTCCACAATAAAATAGTCCCTTTACAGCTGGGCGAGATGGCTCACGCCTGCAATCCCAGAACTTTGGGAGGCAGAGGCAAGTGGATCACTTGAGCTCAGGAGTTTGAGACGAGCCTGGGCAACACGGTGAAACCCTGTCTCTACAAAAATATAAAAATTAGCCTGTCATGGTAGCACATGCCTGTAGTTCTAGCTACTTGGTGGGGGCTGGGGGGGGAGGCTGAGGTGGGAGGACTGCTTGTGCCCAGGAGGCAGAGGTTGCAGTGAGCCAGGATAGTGCCACTGCACTCCAACCTGGGTGACAGAGTGAGAACTTGTCTCAAAAAGTCTCTTTACTTAAGTTGGCAGAGTACCCACTGAAAAAAATTCTTTTCTAGCTTCCCTTCCAACTAAGATATAAACAGAAGTTATTGGGTCTCAGCAAGATTTACTCTGCATCAGATTCTGTTTGTCCTTCCCATCTTTCTCCTACTTCCTGCCGGGAACTTGAATATAATGTTTACAGCTGCTGGAGACATCTTATGTTAGACCATAAGGTAACTTTTAGGATGGAAGCCATGCACCAAGGAGAAGAAAGAGCCTAGATTATTAATGATTTCATCAAGCATCATACCAGCCTTGGACAGCTTACCTCTACGAATTTAAAAAAAAGACAGTATACCACTAACTTGTTTAATTCACTCTTATTTAGGCTAAACCTAATCCTAGAACATCTTGAGATCTTTGCCAATACCATGACCTACATCGGGCTCAGCAAATTTTTTCTGCAAACGGCCAGATAGTAAGCATTTCAGACTTTGCTGGCAATATGGTCTCTGTTGCAACTTCTCAACTCAGCTGTTATAGCACAAAAGCACCCACAGACAATATATAAGTAAACAAAAGGGGCTATGTTCCAATAAAACCTTATTTACAAAAACAAGCAGCAGGTCAGATTTGGCCTACGGGCCATGGTTTACTGACCCCTAATCTATACAAACAAAAAGTCAGCCCTTTTCAACTGTTTGAGAACTTAATTTCCTTATCCAGTATTAAAATTAGTTAGCTCAAAAGAAACAGAAGCAGCAGGCATGAATAATAAACCAAATAAATCTAAGGCTGAGTGCGGTGGTTTATGCCTGTAATCCCAGCAATTTGGGAGGCCGAGGAGGGTGGATCACTTGAGCCCAGAAGTTTGAGACCAACCTAGGCAACATGGCAAGACCCTGTCTAAAAAAAAATAAAAAATTTACCCGAGTGTAGTGACATGTATCTGTAGTCCCAGCTACTTGGAAGGCTAAGGTGGAAGGATCACTTAAGCCCAGGAGGTTGCAGTAAACCAAGATCGTGCCACTACACTCCAGCCTGGGTGACAAAGTGAGACCCTGTCTCAAAAAAAAAGAAAGCAATGCAACATTTTATATTCCTTCCTATAAATAGTATATAAGAGCAACAGAACTATCTTGATTGATGAAGAAGCCAGATTTATTTATTTATTGTATTTTTTGTAGAGATGGGGTCTTGTCATGTTGCCCAGGCTGGTGCTGAACTCCTGGCTCAGGTGATCTGCCCGTCCTGGCCTCCCAAAGTGCTGGTATTACAGGAGTGAGCCACTGCACTGCACCCGGGCCTTAAAATATTACATCCCTGAGAGTAACCCAGCATGAAGTATCACAATATTTAATGATATACTATATATTTTTATACTAAAATTCTACTTCTAGAAATTTAGTCCCAGTAAAAACCACAAAAATATAGAATTCCTAATGATATGAGTAATTGTCTACAATATTAGTAAAAAAGTCATAATGCAAAAGTATGGGCAATACAACCCCAATTTCAAGACTATATATACAGATAACCAAACATATATACCAAAATGTTAAACTATAATTTTTAACTTTTTTGTACTTTTATGTATTTCCTGTTTTTAAAAATAAACATGATTTTGTACACAAACTACATATATACGAAAAAAATTTAAGTTGATTAGATCTAATTATTAGTTTAGTCAAACAAGACCCACAATACATTATAAATCACACACTTAAAATTTTTAAAACAGAAAAATGCCACAACAATTTCCAAACAAAGAAAATGCAGATTCTTTTCCCCTAGGAAGCAAGTATTGTTTACATATTATACCTGGACTAGGAATGCTTCAGGGTCCCTTTGTGTTCCCTTGATTCCTAGGACAGTAGAAAAAATCACTTTGACGTTGAAGTCTTCTCCCACTTCCACAGCAAGCCCTTTTTGCTTTTCAGCAACAATAAAAGCATTCAGAAGTCTAGAATACTCTTTGAGATTACTATAGGAGAATTTATATAAGGGAGTTAAACTATATAAAGTCCACTGTTTATGCAGAAGGAATGCAACCTTTTGAGGGTCAACATCTTCCTAAAAAAAAAAAAAAAAAAAAAAAAAAAGACAAAGTAAGTTTAAAACTAGGAAACATTGGTAAGAATTTAATATAGCATTTAAAGCATTTAATACAAATCAATTATTGGGTACCTGATTTTTGCACTCCAACCAAACGAGTTTGCAGGACTTTTTGCAGATCCTTGAAGAGATCTTTACTTTGCTGTACCTTCTCTTTTTTTTTTTTTTTTTTTTT